ATATTATTTTGTTAAATTTTTATATAAATAAATGTATAAAAATAAAAAAAAATTAAACTTGAATAATTAAAGTTGATCAGAAATAATAATTGATTTTAAATAGTTTAAAGAATTCAATGATAATTTTCTTCCAATTGAAGTAAGAAATTATGAGTTTAAATCGCATAACATGTGAGTTAAATAAATTAAAAAATGAATAAGATTTGCTTCTTATTATATAACATAAGATCCAATATATATATATTGATTGATACGTCCTTTAGTGCAATATATTGCATAATACTCTTATAGGCATTAAGTAATTAAGGCGTGATTTTTGCTGATTTAATTAGTCTCCAGCAAATAACGAATTTTCTTTTCCTATAGTCGGATTAAAGAAATGATGTTCACTGAATTTTTTCATAATGGAAAAGTGCTAGCTTGCGGTATAGAGACAATCTCCATTTATATTTGTATATATGATATGAAGTCAAGATTTCCCATACAAATTAAGTTCTCCTTCCTTCATGGCATCGTATTGGGGGCAAGGCTCTCTTTTTGATGAGTAATATGAAAAGTTGCGACCGTTCGGGACTGTATGAGTGGAGGGTCTCTTAAACTTATTAGCTTACTTAAAATTCACGTAACATATTATACTTAAATGGAAATGAAAAGAGAATTTGTGAAGTAGGAAAATCTCATCGTCGTACGAAAAAATGGTCGTGCGTCTCATATGAGGAGGGTGAAATGTTCACCATTCTGAAAAAATTCTAACTACTAACAAACTAACTCTACTAACTTCCTAACCATCTACCTGGTAAAAAAAAAAAAAAAAAAGGAAGAGCAATGTTAGGGGCACTCGCCTGTTGCAGTCTCGGGCCAACACTTTCTCTTTTATTGGGCCACGTTATTTTGGTTGCCGAGAAGTCGTACTGAGTTGAAAGCTTCAAAGAAGCTTACGTGCCCCAATGAAAAGGGAAGTGCTGCCAGAGAGTGCAAAAAGCAAGTGCCCGTAGCACTGCTCTAAAAAGAATATTAAATGTAAATTTTAATCTTTTAATTTTAAAATTTTATATAATTTTTATTTTTTAATTATTGTAAGCATTATTTTAGTTTGTTAATTTTAAA